ATTCCACTGTTAACGTGTGAACGACGTGGAATGATAAAGACCATTATGCAATCAGAAGCATTTCGTCCATGCATTATCCCTACCATGGCTGGTCTCCAAGAGACAAACTGATTCTAGCGTGGTAATTGAAAGAGCGTCGTAACCAAAGGGAGGGTCAATCAAAATGTTGATGCACGTATGATCGTTTTGTACATGGCGTGATCAAATCTACCTCGCACTGGATCAAACAATATTGAATGCTCTGCCTATCTAATTGTAAATGACCAGTTAATGAACTATCGAAAAATCGTTTGTTTCGCCTATCAGATTTCATTTTCAATGTCGAAATGACAAGCAGTTCCAAATCGTGCATTTCCTACCGATAAAGACCAGCGTTTCAGTCGGCATCTTGTGGATTATTGAATCCAATGGGTTTCCCCTGAGGTAGACAAACGCCTCACTCCGTATGCACTCAACTGTCTACTCATAACCGACGTAGAAATATCGGTAACTCAAACTCACCTGGGTCAAACTTAGAAACCAGACATGCTTTGGAGCTGCAAACACCGTCTTGCCGCAATCGATCGAATAGTTTTCTCTCAAACGATGGCACTTAATCCCTTCTTATGTCGAGGTTGTGACTATTGTTGATTTCTGACGAAATATGGATGCCCACTCTTGTGTTGTGTGAATGCGACTTTGCATTTCGACACATAAAATTCAATGTTGTTCTCAACCGACTATTGGTGAGCTGCATTCAGTGGTTCGTGAAGTGGTAATCAGTCCTCAGGTTGTCATTATCCTCTAGATTTCGACTTCTTGGGCAAACTGTCTTGTTCGTGATCCCCAAATATCCGGTAGGTCACTCATGAAAGTAGAGAAATATTATTGAGGACATTTGTTTTTTTTTTGTAATCTTGTTGTTCTTACCCATAATATTCATTTAACGGATACTTGTCGTAACCGTGCCGAAGCACCCAGTGAGCAACTCAAACAGTTTCTTTTTTGTATAAACTAGAGAGGAAGATGAAGAAAACTTTGAACATGAAAAATACACTCACCAGCAATTGAGACTTTCACATAAACTTCTGAGAATAGCTCGTGTTGTATGTTTATCTTCACTCAAGGTTTAACATGGTCCAAAATAGCTGAACGCATTCTTTCTCATGGTGATTCGAAGAAAAAATAAAATGTTCAATGGATAATGGCACTTTTCATGGTCAGGTGCGATGAAAAGTTACCGCATACGTGTTTTCGCCTGCAGGTTGCCCTTCACGATTATCCCACAAGAAAACGAAATATGTTTTTCAATGCAATTTTTGAGACAGGGTGTTGATTTGATTCGGTGGATATGGTGAATTTATGCTATTGAAACACTTAAATAACCGTTCCACTGAGGCAAAGTACCATAGCAAATGCTTGAATTCTTTTATCTTATCATTCAGACAGGACACTACGGTTCTCTATTATTCCTGTTTATATGCTTTGGACACTTTGAGTCCTCAAGGGAAAATCAGTCGGGCTGCGTGATACTGTGTTGAATAGTGTTGGACGGTACGATTACTAAACGGTTCAGTCACCAGTTCACTCCATCATCCTCTTTCCCTGGGTTTCTTAAAGTTGAATTTATTCTCGTCTTGTCGGTTGGTCGGGTTTAGTTGGAATCACCAGTCTGAATATCAGTATGAAAGTTTAATTCAAATCTGACGTCCGTCACTCCTACTCTGTCCATGTATTCTCAGTTTTTTTCTCTGATTATGCTAAAAGGTGATGCAACATTTCTTATGAGTGTGCTATGCTTACCACTAAGAAACCTGTTACACGTGTTATGGAGGATCGTCAGTAGTGCATGATGCTTCACTATACAAAATCTTTTACGGATCAGGTGACCTCGTGTTTTGGGTTTATTTCCATCTCGTTATTTTCTTCTTTGATTTAATGATTGTATCATAATATTTTTCCTGTTCAGAAAGGTAAAAGCATCCCCTAACCTCACGTGTTCTTTTATCCGTGATCGACTTTTACGTCTTCATTGTTTTTTGTTTGGTCGCACACATTGAATATGCCATAAAACGAACCAACTCACGACTTTTCTCTGCAGCACTCTAAAAATTTGTTTTGTTTTTTGTGCTGGACCCTACTAACATGGTTATGATTAAGTCTCCCTGTCGATAGGTCCTGATAGTCGGCTATGGGTCTGTTAGGAAACCGAATTGTGATTTTCCTCCACTTCATATTCCAGTTCATCGACTAATGTTTCCAAACGCGCATTTCTTTCCCCTTAGGTCGTTCTGCCAGATCTGGCTGTCTTGCGATTCGCGGTGTATGAAGATACCGGCAAACTGATTGGTCAGCGTGTCTTGCCGCTAGATGGTCTTCAAGCTGGCTATCGACATATTTCTCTTCGAACTGAGGGCAACTTTCCGCTCTCTCTACCAACTCTGTTCTGTCAGGTATCACTTACAACCTACGTTCCCGAGGGATTAAACGATTTGGTCGACGCCCTGTCTGATCCACGAGCTTTTCTGAGCAAAGAAGAACAACGCATGAAACAGGCAAGTCGATGGAACACAATGTACTTCTATTTGTCTACTGAATTCATTTTTTTCGCTGCTAATGTAACCATATTTGTCATGTGTTATTTCACCATTAGAGTTATGCAACACTGAAGCGATAATTTTGCCGTTTGTTGCTTTTCCACTCTATTTGGTCCTACTCGAATGTGTGCTGTTTATGTATGTCTCGTTGTAGCTTGCCAGCATGGGTATCGACTCTTCTGAGATCGCTGATGTATCATCCAGTGGGAATGTGAGGCGGAGCGGACCGGGTCATACAGGTGGTGCCGTTGGTCCCGGTGCAGTGGGCGCTGCCGGTTCCGGAGATTCTGCCAGCGCTGGAGTAAATTCATCCAAAAAGGACGAAAAGAAAGGTTTGTTTCAAGTTCCTCGCCTCAATCTAATCCTTTTCGACCGGTAGACGATCCCAAATTTGATCCGATCTCATTGAGCCTGCTTCAAACGGACAAGTCGTATCAAAAACTGGTGAAGAAACAACAAAAGGAATTGGAAGTTATTCAACGGCGGCAGGAAAAGGATGCCATGACCATGCTTCGAAATCACACGCTCGTCACTGATAAACTGAACACCAGTCATGCAAAGGAACGATCAAGTATGAAACGC